TCTGCTGCCTTTCATTTTAAATCTTTTGTATCTTTTTTTTATATTGTTATGGAATTGTTTTGTACTTTTTTAAAATGAATAAACTATATACCATACCATACCATATTTGGTCTGACCGGTGTGAATCTGCTTTCGTGCAGACTAAATCTTTGCTCGTCAATGCTCCTGTGTTGTCTGCCCCTTGCTTTGATGTGTCGTTTTAGTTGGCTGTGGACATATGTGACTCTGGCATGGGAGCTGTCCATTTACAGGATGGTACTGATGGTTTGGAACATCCGGTTTCTTATTTAATAAAAAAAAAATTGATAGACATCAGAGGTATTATTCCATCATTGAGAAAGAGGCATTAGCGTTGGTCCTGGCTTTAGAACACTTCGAGTTTTATATAGGCAGTTCTAGCAGACCCATGCTAGTTTTTACGGACCATAATCAGTTAGTATTTTTGGACCACATGCATAATAAGAACCTCTGTCTGTTGAACTTGTCCCTGCGGCTCCAGCCTTTTAACATCTCCATACAATATGTTCATGGTAAGGACAAAGTGGTTGCCGATGCGGGCAGCACAGTGGCACAACTGGTAGAGCTGCTGCCTCTCAGCGAGCAGATCCCTGGTTCAAATCCTGGTCTGGGGGCCTTTCTGGGTCAAGTTTGCATGTTCTCTCCGTGCATACGTGGATTTTCTCCGGCTACTCCGGTTTCCTCCCACAGACCAAAAACTTGCATGTTAGGCTGATTGGTAACTCTAAATTATCCCTAGGTGTGAGTGAGACAGTGGATGGTTGTTTCTCTCGTTTGCCTCTATGTGGACCTGTGATGGACTTGCGACCCGTCCAGGGTGTACCCCGCCCCTCGCACAGTGGGCCATCTGGCAATGGACATGGGCACCGGCGACCCCCATGACCCAAAATGGAAGAAGCGGGTAAAAGATAATGGATGGATAGTTTGGTACCAACAGTGGCTTCGATGGCCCTGTATAGGGTTGTCCCCCTGCAATATCTTTTTGTTCTGTTTGATCAGCTCATCAGGTCCACCTTCCAGTTTATACTTTGGGGTTTTGTGTTTTTGGTTGGACACAGGAATTGGGAGTTCATTATCTTCTTTTTTCCCTGCAGGAAGCAGTTTAAATATATTCAATGTTTGAACTCTCATGTTTGAGTCATGTGTCCTCCTTAAAATATGTTGTACCCTTGGTGGACATAACAGACCATAAGAATAAGTATAAAAACAAGACAAAAAAGGGCACATTCTGATCAGTTTATTATATTTCAACGGTCCATTCCATTCAGATTTAATAAGTAAACATCAACTGCTCAAAAAGTGTGGAACTTAAATGACAGCTTGTGTACATTAATAAAACAAATATGGGACATGCAGAATAAATTAAATAGATTTGTTTAAGAAAATGATGATTTCTTTGGATTGATTTTGTTTTATACTTCCTGCTTCAAAAATGAGAGAAAATTCAGCGGAGCTGCAGAATACAATGCACTTGTTGCTGTTTTGACTTTAATTCCAGTCTATTAATTAGATTATCTATTTTTAAACAAACATGTTTCTGCGGCTGTAATCATCTAATTACTGTGATGTGTAGGGCAATGGTCATGGTGGTGTTGATGGTCATGACCATGATTTTGGTGTTCATTTTGTTGGTGATGGTTGTGGTCATGGTTGTCGGATTCACGGTAGTAGTCCTGGGCACATTAGTGATCATCATGGTGGTCATGAACATTGTAATCATTGTCATAGTAATGGTAGATGTGATGGCCATCATCATGGTAGTCATGTTTGTGGTCATGTTGGTGACAGTAGAGGTTATCATCTTTGTGAATGCGGTGCGTATGGTGCTCGTGTTTGTGCTCATGATCGTGGTGGTATTGGTGATCATGGTCATAGTGGCTTTGGTGATCATGCTGGTGGTGATCGTGATGGTGCTCATATTTATATTGTTCATGGTGGTGGTCATTTTTATGATTGTGATGTTCATGGTGGTGATGATTATGCTGATGTTGGTTATTGTGGTGGTCATGGTGATCGTCATTATGGATGTGCTGGTCTTGTTTGCCATGGTGGTCATCTTCATTATTCTGGTGGTCACGATGGTTGTATCAGTGCTCATGTTGTTGTTTATCATCATGGTCTTGGAGGTGCTTGTGTTTGTGATGGTCATGGTCTTAATCTTTGTGGGGATCATCATGTTTCTGGTGGTCATGATGGTGAATATCATCATGGTCTTGGTGGTGCTTGTACTTGTGATGGTAAGGGTTATTATCTTTGAGGTTCTGCTGGTCGTGATGGTCATGAAGATGTTTGTAATCATTGTCATGGTGGTGTTTCTGTTTTTGATGGTCATGGAGATCATCTGTATGGTCATCATATTTGTGTTACTGGTGGTCATGATGATGTTTGTCATCATGGTCATGATGGTGCTTGTGTTTGTGATAGTTGTAGTGATCATCTTTGTGGTTCTGCTTGTCATGATGGTTGTGTTGGTGCTAATAATGGTGGTTGTCATCATGGTCATACTGGTACTTATGTCTGTGGTGGTGCTTATGTTTGTGGTGGTCATAATGGTCATGGTGGTCTTTGAGGTGGTATTGGCAATCATGATCACGATGGTGCTTGTATTTGTGGTGGTCATGATCACCATCATTGTCATCATGATCATGCTGGTGCTTATGTTTGTGGGGGTGCTTATGTTTGTGGTGGTCATTGTGGTCATGGTGGTGGTATTGGCCGTCATGGTCATGGTCTTTATGGTGATGTTGGTCTTTATGGTCATGGTGGTCTTTGTGGTGGTGTTGGCCGTCATGGTTGTGGTGCTTGTGTTTGTGGATGTCATGGTGCCCATGTTTGTTGTGGTCATCATGGTCATGGTGGTGGTTTTTGCCATCACGATCATGATGTTCTTTGTGGTGATGTTGGCCATGGTCGTGCTTGTGTTTGTGGTGGTTGTGGTGCCCATGTTTTTGGTGGTCATTATGGTCATGGTGGTGTTGGCCATCATGGTCCTGGTGGTCTTTGTGGTGGTGTGAGTCATCATGGTCATGATGATGCTTGTGTGTGTGATGGTCGTGTTGCCCATGATTATGGTGGTCATGATGGTCATGGTGGTGGTGTTGGTCATCATGGTCATGGTGGTCTTTTTGGTGGTGCGGGCCATCATGTTCATCGTGTTCTTTGTGATGATGTTGGCCATCATGGTCATGGTGGTGCTTGTGTTTATGGTGGTCGTGCTGCCCATGATTGTGGTGGTTATCATGATCATGGTGGTCTTTGTGGTGGTGGTGATCATATTTGTCATGGTGGTCGTTGTGGTGGTGGTCATCATGGTCATGGTGGTCTTTGTGGTGGTGTTGGTCATCATGGTCATGGTGTTCTTTGTGGTGGTGTTGGTCATCATGGTCATGGTGGTCTTTGTGGTGGTAATGGTCATCATTGTCATGGTGGTGGTGCTGGTCATCATGCTCATGGTGGTGCTTGTGTTTATGTTGGTCGTGGTGTCCATGTTTGTGGTGGTCGTCATGGTCATGGTGGTGGTGTTGGTCATCATGTTCATGGTGGTGCTTGTGTTTATGGTGTTCGTGCTGCCCATGATTGTGGTGGTTATCATGGTCATGGTGGTCTTTGTGGTGGTGGTGATCATCTTTGTCATGGTGGTTGTTGTGGTGGTGGTCATCATGGTCATGGTGGTCTTTGTGGTGGTGTTGGTCATCATGGTCATGGTGTTCTTTGTGGTGGTGTTGGTCATCATGGTCATGGTGGTCTTTGTGGTGGTGATGGTCATCATTGTCATGTTTGTGGTGGTCGTCATGGTCATGGTGGTGGTGTTGGTCATCATGGTCATGGTGGTGCTTGTGGTGGTGTTGTTCATCATGGTCATGGTGGTGCCCATGTTTGTGTTGGTCGTGGTTCCCATGTTTGTGGTGGTCATCATGGTCATGGTGTTGGTGTTGGCCATCATGGTCATGGTGGTCTTTATGGTGGTGTTGGTCATCATGGTCATGGTGGTGCTTCTGGTGGTGTTGGTCATCATGGTCATGGTGGTGCTTGTGTTTGTGTTGGTCGTGGTGCCCATGTTTGTGGTGGTCATCATGGTCATGGTGGTGGTGTTGGCCATCATGGTCATGGTGGTCTTTATGGTGGTGTTGGTCATCATGGTCATGGTGGTGCTTGTGGTGGTGTTGGTCATCATGGTCATGGTGGTCTTTATGTTGGTGCAGGTGATCATGGTCATGGTGATCTTTGTTGTGGTGGTGGTCATCATGGTCATGGTGGTCTTTGTGGTGGTGGCCATCATGGTCATGGTAGTGCTTCTGTTTGTGGTGGTCATGATGGTCATGGTGGTCTTTGTGGTGGTTGTGTTGGTCATCATGGTCATGGTGGTGCTTATGTTTTTGGTGGTCATGATGGTATTTGTGGTGGTGTTGGCCATCGTGGTCATGGTGATCTTCATGGTGGTGTTGGTCATCATGATCATGATGATCATGGTGGTGGTGCTGGTGATTTTGGTGCTTGTGGTGGTGTTGGCCATCATGGTTATGATGGTCAAGGTGGAGGTGATGGTGGTGTTGGTCATCATGGTCATGGTGGTGCTTGTGTTTGTCGTGATGCCCATGTTTGTGGTGGTCATCATGGTCATGGTGGTGGTGATGGTCATCATGGTCATGGTGGTGCTTGTGGTGGTGTAGTTCATCATGGTCATGTTGGTGTTTGTGTTGGTCATGGTGCCCATGTTTGTGGTGGTCATCATGGTCATGGTGGTGGTGCTGGTCATCATGTTCATGGTGGTG